GAGCGGCACTTAAATTGTTGTTTACTAGAATTTACGACCAGAAAATTGCGCAGCTTCGTGGTGAAAATTCGGAAAATGGTAGATTCAAAACATTGAACAACACTTTTAGGCCATACCAAAACTCCAAAATATTATTTTCCGTTTAATGAAGAGTACCAAACGTTGCAAAGCCTCAGTTGAAGTCAGAAAGTTTAGTTTTGTTTTCAGCAATGATTCGCATCGCGTTTGGGAATAAAGTATCGTAAACTTCAAAACTAATTTGGCCGCTTGAAAGAACTACGTGCTTATTATTTTTCGAAAAGAGTATTATTTGGCATATTTCCTTTGCATTTTGAGATCCCAAAGGTCTATCTCAGTCGGGATAGAGCGCGAAAACAATCTTACAAGTTTTGAAACTTCGCGGCTAAACTCAACTGGAACTTTCAGCCAAAGTGAATATGCACAATTCATGTGTTGGATACAAGACCGTGCAGTACATAAGGATATCTACTATGCATTGTAGCTCTATAGGAAATACTGAGGTAGGCCTTGCGCGCACTATGTTTAAGAATCGCATAGCTAAAGGTAAACTCGCGGTCTGATTTGCTATCGAAGAGAGGGCATTTAGCGTGGAATTGCACTTGTGCACGAAGGGATATTGCTGACGTGGGTCGCGGGCAAAAATTGTTGCTATCGTGAAAATTAAAATGCAACTCGTACTACGAAAAATATCACCTTGGAAATGAACAGAAAAATGAAATGTACAGAAAATGAATGTCTGCCAAATTTTAAATTTAAATTTAAATTTTTAGAAAATTTTAAGGAAACCCCTCACACTCAAAGGACGAGAAAAAGCTTTGAAAAAAAAAACAAATTGGCAGAAAATTCAAGAAAAAATTCACTGCAAGACGAGTGAATTCCACGTTAAATTTCACGCGAAAAACCGATATCGCAGGAATCGCGAAAAACCGATATCGCGCGAGTCGCGATATCGGTTTTTCGCGTGAAATTTAATGTGGCATTCACTCGTCAGGCAATGAATTTTTCTTTAATATCGCTTTGAGCACCTTGGTCACGTCTGATATACTCTAAAATACTCTCTACGCTCAAGTGAGGCAGAATGATTCATGACGAAAGGCAATTGATGATTAATGAAGAATGACATCTTTAGTTTCAAGTTGGAAGCTTCAACAGTTAAAAAAATAAACTGAGTAGTTTAACATTTCTTTCTTCTGATGTGTTTCGGGCTACAAGAAATCCTGTGAAAGCCGGAAAAATTAGTAATTTAAACAATACATGATACAGACAAACGACATTATATAATTTTCAATAATGTTTTTACAAACAAACCTAAGCTGAGTCAGTATCTCCCCGGTGTAATTACGAATCAAATAACATTGCCAATGCGATTTTAAAAAGGCATCTGTCAAATCTTGTATTTTTCTGAAGGCGACGAGCACTGTCTTTTCGTTCTGTCTTTTTCTTTTCTGTTTTAAATTCGCTTTGAAAATTTCAAATGTTCAAATAAGCGAAATCCTTCCAATCTTGAGCCAATCGTTATAAGACTCAGTCCATGTCTTTGACGAAAAGATGCGGGGATCTCTGTCCAACAGCGAATGAACAAAAATTTGCATTTGAAATTAGCACCGAAAAAAATAGAGAAAAAAGAAAAAATAGACAGCTGCTGTAACAAACTGTATGATAAAATTCTATTAAAAACGCGCTGTCTTTGGTTGAAAGAGCGTGCTGTATCAGGGTACAAACCTTGAACTGAGCTAAAGCTACCACGTCATCTGCCAAATAGTACTATGTCCGACCATTTCCCGGACTTCTCTCTAGCTCATTACTTGAAAGTAAAAGTAGCAACAGAAAAACCAAACAAAAGTTTGTAAACATGTCAAGCGCCTTAATTTATGTAGTTATAACGTGAGCTTGCGGAGACAAAAATCCATGCTCACAGAGAAAACGAAGTGGACAGTCCGAGTTTTAAGGTTTTCACGCGTACTTAGATTTCAAGCTTACGAACGGTAACAAAGATAAAAAACAGCTAACACCCGTATAGTATTTATAGTTTCGTGTTTAAAGACAATACAAAACAAAACAGGAATGATGAAAATTATAGCCAAACTGGCACGAGTATTAAAATTCATACTGAAGAAAAATTCATGCTCAAGAAGTAGGGAGAAACACCCGACTAAGTCTCGTGTTTCTCCCTACACTTCTTTCGTGCTCTAGCCGCTTCCAGTTTACTTTACTTTACTACAGTATCGAGCACAGTCAAGGCCTCTCTATTTGTTAAATGGGTAGTTTTTCTATATCGCCTCATCATACACGTTTAATAATATTTGATCCTGTTTCTGAAACCGTGTAAAATGTGTTTTTCTATTGCTTCTCCTTTTATTGATTAATTTATTAACAAACTTGGAGATAAATTGAGAAAAAAGAAAGACGATGTCAACGGAAATGCAATCGCACCAAATTTACAGCAATCGTCATTATCTAGATAAAACACAAAGACACCGACCACGCTAAATGTAAATTTACTCCCAAAGTAGGCGTGCGCGGGTGTGTGTTTTTGTGTATTTTGATTATTTTCTTCCAATTGTAACCTTTCTGGGTTAATTTGAATTCTCAACCATCATCCGAAGAATCATCTTGGGATCATTTATTTAAGAGTATCTTTAAAACCACAACAGTCCACCTAATCGAAAAGGCGACGCTACGAAAGTCATCAAAATTCCGTTTTCCGTTTTGAGGTTTCAACCGTCAAGGTGTCATAGCAACGTCTTTAAATGATCAAAGGGCTGTCACGGAACCAGGAGAACGTAAAGAAAATGAAAACAGATCATGACCAAGGTCTGACGATTCATGAGTCATTACTCAATTTGAATATTCAGCACTCACACTGAGATTTTCTTAATAGACAACGCTTGAAAATCACGACATTCAAATTGCAAGTTCAAGAGAATAGTCATGAATGTAACAAGCGCATCGCTAGAGGGAGAAAACAGTTCATTCGAAACTACAACAAGCAGTGCAGCTGAAGCACTAGTATCGTACGTATCTGACTGTGGTAATAGTACAAGTGAGACCATAATTCCAAAGGCAGTCACGATGTCATTTTATTGCGTCGTTCTGTTTCTCTCAGTTCTTGGGAACTCCCTGCTTATCTTTATCATCAAGAGAAACAAGCGGATGCAAACAATAACCAATTATCTGATCGCCAATATGGCAGTATCTGACTTATTATTAATAGTTCTGGCAACACCGCGACAAATAATAGAAGAATCGTTTGGGCCTCGAAGATGGCTCATTAGCGGAAGCTTCGGTTCGTTTCTCTGCAAAAGTCTTTCTTTCTTCCAAGATATTTCAACAGCAGTGTCAATTTTGAGTCTCGTCGTCATAGCAATCGACAGATACAGAGGAATTGTGTTTCCATTGCGAAAACCATTCATAAAGCCGGCTAAACTCTACAAAGTTGTCATACCGTTGATATGGCTCTTTTCGATGAGTCTTCACGCACCTTACTTCTACATTTATGGCACAACCACAACTGATGACAAAACATATTGCAATCAGTTGAGCTGGGGTCCTAAATTAGATTTTAAGAAAAGTCAAAAAATATTTTTTATGATAGTATTCATTTGCGTTATAGCTATTCCTGAATGTATCGTCATATCACTGTACTCTGCTATCATATTCAGTCTTAAAAGAAACGCAATTGCAACATGTCAGGGTTCTTCAAATAGCATGGCAGCTCGAAGGCTACAGGAGGACATAAAAGTTGTGAGGAACATCATAGCAATACTTATTGCCTTTTTTGTATCTACTAACCCGTTCATCGTAGTGGCTTTCATGTTTCATTTCGTCTGGGATTTCAAAATACCTTGTAATATGAAGGTTTTCGTCTTTGTAGTCCATTTAATATTTTATTTGCATGCATTAGTAAATCCTTTCATTTATTATATTTTCAACGACAAATATCGACAGAGTTTTCTGAAAATCTTCCGCCAAGTCTCTCTCTCCTTCAGTTGCAAAAAGAACAGAAAAAAGAAGAAAAACTCACGGAATTTGATCGAAACTTCAATGTGACCAACGACAGATAACTGCAGACTCCTAGAAATAATTCATTTTATCCTTTCGTAAGTGGATTCACACCGAAGACCGGTAAATGTTGTCAAATGACGAACTGAATTTTTCAAGAGCTGGGGTACAGAGGTACTCATTTCTTATTTCGACATCACCTTGACAAGTTCAGTAGTAAACAATTTTCACAAAAAATTAGAACACTTTTGTTCGAATTCATGGTTTCAGTGAATGATATTCATAGGGTTGATACATAAATATGCAAATAACGACTCTTTTAATAACTGATGGTATCGATCACTAGTTTATAAGTGTTAGAGAAGTTGGTTGTTTCGAAACTTTCTGTTCACTTTTGTTTTCTGACAGAAAAGGATGTCTGTTATGCTTGTGTTAAAAGAATCAAATGATATAAATACAACTCCCTCTAAGAGTTAAACGTCACGGAAAATGGAGATTTGGAGTTACTCATTATCTATTCAAGGATAATCTTAAAGGGAAGTCGCATACTGCATATAACCGGGAGAAAATGTGATGTACATCATGTGCTTCATTTTCATTGCTTTTGTTTGTGTTCTTATCGGTTTATCTTTCTCACGCTCGTGACAGGATGAAAAACATCTTTCTGAACTTGTAATTAGATGCGAAAGGAGCTATTGGTAATTACAAAAACAATGTTGATTATGAATAGAAACTTTCAGTTTTGAGGACCGTTCTAGAGCGAAACCGGAAGGGATGATATTTGTTTCAACCCGTAATCTAATTTTGCTAGCAGGCAAGGGGTGATTTGGAGGAAAAACTTACTCCGCGATCGAGAACGAAGATGGAATTTCTGTCGAAGTGACACAAAGATTCTGTAGGAAAAACACGCTGTTTTCTTTGTGTTAAAAGCAACTGTAGGTCAGGGTCACCGGTTCATGTTTGTGTGGAAAGTTACAATCAATTTGGAAAGTTCGGTT